AGTGTCTAAAATTGGACAGCAATGACCAAAATCAGACACTTGTAACTAAATTGGACACTATTGTCCAATATCAGACACTTAAGTACCTCAATCAGACATCAGTTTCTAGAATCTGACAATAGTGTCCATAATTGGACATTTGTGTCTAATCAGAATCCATTGAACTCTGATGGAATACTATTTAAGGGCCTCACCATCAGAAAATCAATCACTGCAATTAAATCCATTGAATTCTATTGATGTTCACTGGAATCCATTGGACACCAATGGAAGAATGCTCATCATCAATTTAAAGACTTTCAACGTGGTTGATGAGTACCACTTCCAGTGGCTTATTTTGATTTATACCCATAGACTTCTGGTTTTCCGATATAAACTTCTATTTTCTGATGGAATCTATTTGCGAGAATTGAACAACCCTCCTTATACTTGGACATTAATACTTGTCCTGACCTTTTCCACATGCAAAGAAGGGGATTTGACTTAAGTGCACAATATAATATTCAATCATTATGGAGAAAATACTTTGAAACTATCTCCTTTATTAAGTCAAATTTCAGTCAATTACTGATAAATCCCAGTTCCCCTTCTTTCAAGGGGTCCAGTGTTCATGGATATAATAAGAGTTCGGTAACTTTCAAAAAGAATACCAAGTAATGATGGAAATGTAAAACTAATAAAATCAAAGTTAAACATATTTTACATTGACATGCAAAAGACCACCAGCTAACAAATTTAAAAACCTGGATGGGTGTACAACTGATCTTGAAAAAACTGGGTGTAGAGTCAGCAGAAAACCCCGAGTTACAATTATTTATGGGAAGGTTTAAGTAAGACTTACCTTGACTAAAACACCCCAAAAACCTCCTGAACCAAATGTTAACTTTAAAAAATAAAATTAACCGATTTTAAATATTGATAATGTCTGAGAGCTCTAATAATAGTAACAAGGTCAATTCCATTGTTGGACAAGAGTGTTTGGGAAAAGTAAAAAAAACTCAATACCTTACTATTCACCATTAACAATTTACAGACATTGTGCAAGAAAAGTTTGGCCTTAAAAACTAAAGCAAAAAAACATTCAGTGGCCCACCTAGTTGCCTTGTGAACCTTAATATATCACATTCTGGGGTCTGGATAAATTTTTTAATTGTCAGGGCAACAATTCTTGCCATCAGCTTTAGAAGCACTTAAACTAAACCTGGTACAACAAAACTAGGTGAATCTACACACTTGTTCTTCAAATTTTCTCACTTTACATACTTGTCCCAAAAACAAAACTTTTAGATCCAAAAAGATTTCCTGGGTGTTGGTGTACACACTGAGCATTTTCACTGGGTACGAAGGAAGTTGAATGGTACAATAATAATTAAATTTGACCACTATCCTTTGCAATACCTTCACCTGTTTTACAGTCTAAAGTTTCTATGAATGATTGAACTGTATGCATCTTAAACTATCCACTGTATTTTGTGATGAGTCAATAGTTCTCATCATTGTGACATTCTACTGCAAATAAACCAAAGTAACCAGGTGAGTACAAACTTTTCGTTACGACTAGGAAACAATGGATTCTCAACCTTATAGATAGCCTTGTTACACAATTGACTTCTAATTATACTTGTACTCATTTCACTCTCTAGATTTCAACTTTAACTTCTCCTAACTAAAAAACTTTGATTGTTTTTGTTGACTACTCCTGAAAATTAAGTGTTCAATCAAGACAACATCCCATGGTCAACTTAATAATTATTGTAAATTGTTAAATTCTCCCTTACATCAGTATGCAAGTTCTCCCTATTATTCCCTATATATTCCATATGGTACCTGAATGAGAATTTGTCAGACAATGTAGTTCTTCTTGAATGTGATCATTTGTTCTATTCTTATGACCTTAAAGTTTGATTCAGGGGTTGGTAATGTTGGGAGAAATTGGATGCTTATCACTCTTTGGGTGTTTAGGGTTCAATCTGTCATGCTTGACAATGCCATGAGTATTCACTCATTCATCCAGCTTATCAGTGACAGTCATTGGATTAAGCACAAA